CAGTCACCCAAATAGTTTAACCCTTGTGTTGCCCAGGTCAGGGCTTCAGGGCTAATTTTCAACTCTTGGTATCCCAAACTGGCAGCTATGACTTCTTAATGTGCCCCCCATCACCTCAACTTTTCGACTTCTCTTAAATTGGGTGGGTGGGTGGTGGTTTGAGAGGATACTCAGTGATGGTGGTGGGGAGAAAGACGCACATCACACTCTGTGGGTAGACAGCGGGGAAATAAGGTTGGAGCATCTATATGGAGGATGCATAGTGATAAGGAGGATCCAATAAGGAGGGAGCTCAATGATGGGGGGGGAAGGGCGGACACACATCACACCCTATGGGTAGACAGCAGTTTTGGGGAGCAATTTGGAGAGCTCACAGTGGATGCTGCATCGGTACAATTGCCGATGATTGTTCCTTCCTACCTGTAGGCGTTCCGGTAGTTGTCCGAGCGCCCAGACCTCCATGGCGTCTATGGTGAAATCCTCCTTGGCGGACAGCTGGGGGCTGTGATAGGTGGTGCAGCTCGGCTTGGCTTTGCTGTGTCCTTTCCCAAAGTTGCTGTCGATCCACAGACCAAAATACTCATGCTGCCCTCCCATGCCCTGCCGGAAACCAGATACACTGACATCAAGGAAAAGTCTTTATGGGATCACTTTATAATGCTGGTAGGGAGTGACACTCACCAGTCCGTTCGGAATGGTCTGTTGCCCGTGGTTCAGGTACATGTAGTGGTCGTTATAACCAGTGTAGGTGTAGATATCAAGCCGTGGAGATACAGTGAAGAGGAAACATCTGCAGTCACCTGTTGAGGATAAATATAATGAGGAGTCACAGAAAAGGTCACATAATGGCGGCACCATAATGTTACCAAGGGGAGGGGCTCAGAGCCGGCACAGGGGTGTGGCTTAAGATATCCGGAGACATTAAATGACAGTTGTCTGGTCCAAGCTTGGTTGCCAACATCACCTAGCTGGCCAGTCTGGTGTGTGTAGCAAAGGAGGGGAAACAGCCGACTGGACAGAATACCATTTTCCATTGTTCCCCCTTTCAGAGGGGCAATAAAACATCAGCAGCCGTATAATAATAATTTCTAGCGGCCTTTCTAGGTATTATCTTGGACATGTGGAATGAGAGGAAACAGATCTGTTATGGCACTGGTCCCCTGCAGTGGCTTCGTTATGGCGCTGGTCAACTGCAGTGGCTTCGTTATGGCGCTGGTCAACTGCAGTGGGTCTGTTATGGCACTGGTCCCCCCCGCAGTGGCTCCGTTATAGCACTGGTCCCCTGCAGTGGTTGTTATAGCACTGGTCCCCCCCGCAGTGGCTCCGTTATAGCACTGGTCCCCTGCAGTGGTTGTTATATCACTGGTCCCCCCCGCAGTGGCTCCGTTATAGCACTGGTCCCC